GGCATAGAGCCCGATCTGCCAGAGGTGTCTCGCAATAAATCATGTCTCTTGGATCTAGCGGGTGTGCTCATCAGGGGTCACACCTTGATCACCACCTTCTTCCTCGTCGCGCTCGTTAGCCTGACGTCTTTCAATCTCGCAAGAGTTGCTGACGTAACCCACATGCATCGAATATTCTTCCGCTTCATGGCTGAATTCAACGCCATCGTTGTTATTATCGTTTCCATCCTCCTCACTATCTTGGTCACTCGCTTCGAAGTCGTCGAACTGAAAGGCTCGTTCCACCCTTGCGTCCGCGTGGGTGATGATCGATTTTGCTGAGTTCAACTCAGCACGCGAAGTCCTTCCGGATGTCGCCAGGGTCGTGCCACTTGCGTCTTTCGATTCGACGATCATAATGCTCCTTGATTGTTTGGTACCTGCTAAAACAATCGCACACCCTGAAGTCCCGGGTCGCGGCACCAATTGTGGTATAGTAGTTTGTCACTTCTACGGCAATACACTCTCAATGTAACAACACAACAACCGCCGAGCTAGTCGGCACAGTTGGGCTTGTACGTCGGGTCAATTGCCTTCGCGGTTCGCCACTTCGGTTTCTGTCGTTGCTCTCGCCTATCTGAGTACATCCTACCACTTACACTCCTTTACAGAAGACTACCTGAACTTAGCAGCTTCCGTTCCTCCAATCCAATGACCTAGTACCAATGGATAGACGTCGGCGTTTTCACGCTTTAGAGGTCACAAGGCGCAGCATACCCCCGACTAGAAAACTTACGGTGTCCTTGGTTAAAAGACCTATTAGCCCTTTGCTTGACAAGTCTTTGGACAGTGCCGTCTATTGGGCCACTGGCTCGCCGTTCGCGAGTCCTGAAGTGGTAACGTCGACTGAGTGACTGGCTCGCCGAATGACGAGACTTAAAGCGGTACCGTCTATTGGGTAACCGGATTGCCGTGCGACGAGACTCAAAGCGGTGCCGTCTACTGGGTCACTGGCTTGCCGTGCGACGAGACTTAAAAACGGTGCCGTAGACTGGGATACCGGCTCGCCGTGCGACGAGACTTGTCTTTCGCTGGAAGCAAGCAATGCCCACCCGGGCTTACTAAAATCTTGGCTCTTCCAATCGAGACCTCTACAAGTTACACTCATCGAGGCTCAACAGAAGACATAATCTAGCCCACGCAGGGACTGACCTTAAAGTGTACAAGTGTCTTGGACTTAAAAAATTCTGCTCTGTATCGATTATCTCTCATTCTCTTCCTGATTGCAAAAGAACCCTTGAGTGGTTCTTCTTTATCCTCCCGTCTTCATATGTTAATACTTAGTGGAATGGACAATTTATCATCTTGCTCTTTCGTCGAGTCTTTCCTCGTCGAGGCTTCTCTCGTTGAGTCTTGACTCGTCAAATTTTGACCCGTCGAGACTTTTCTCCTCGGGTTCACTACTCCTGTAATTAATTCAATAGTAGGGAATACCCTGTTCGGAAATTCCCTGCATCACAGCGGCATCACGGTAGTCCGTACCAATATATGACGATAAAGTGACAGGAGAGAGCGGTCCAGGAAAGAATGAAAACTTTGGAGACGTGCGAAATCGTCGATAACTCGCATGTGAGGCTCGTATCACGACTAAGATAGTTGTAGTGTTGCCAATGGTCTTTTAAACTCTCCATACAAGTCGACTGTCAGCGAATTGAAGATAGGCGAATAGGAGGTCAGCGGACGGGATGTAGGCGAACCGGAGACCAGCAAACCCGCGTTTATAGCCCAGAGCGCGAGAATATCGAGCGTCAGTTGCGTCATTTGTTTCTCTAATAACCAGGAGAAGGACAGAGAGCCAATCAAACTGGCTCGGTGATACAGCAAAAGAGACAAATTAATACAGTGCAGAATTTTTGAAGTCCAATACATGCGTACACTTAAGGTAAGTCCCTGCGCGGGCTAGATTATACCTTCTGTCGAACCGTGAGAGGTATAGATTATAGAGGTCTTGACTGGTAGCGCCAAGAAGTCAGGAAGGCACGGGTTGGGCAACGCTTGTTGATAGCGAAAGAATTAGTCTCGTCGCCGACGAGCCGGTAAACCTCCGTAATAAGAAACGTTTGGAGTCTCGTAGATGGCGAGCCGTTGAGTGTTGGTAGGAGGCGCCGTTCGCTTTCTAAAGACTTGTCCAACTAATGAGTCGGTTGACCTCAGCCGAGGTCATAGTAATTATTCTAGTCTGGAGTACACTACACCCGGTGACCTGTAAAAAAGCGCAAAGCGTCGACTTCAACCCGTTGGTGTGAAGCCACAGGAAGTGGAAGGGTCCGAATCTGCTGATCTCAGGCAGGTCTCTAGAGAATTTGGTTGCAAGGAATCGGTTAGGCAAAAGCCACAACTGAACTCGAAGGGGTGAACCGCGTTGGGATTCATACTGACGTACCAGCCCGTTTCGTCGACTTAGCTCGGCGAGTGTTGTGTTTGTGCGTTGAGGAAGTAGAACAAGGATGACATCATACTTGTCATCCAAATCCAGTTGGTCGAAACTTTTAGATTACATATCAATGTACTGATCATATTATAGAGTGTAGTGGATTTACACCGCCCGTTTTCTTCAATGGTAAGGATGTGCATGTTGCAAGTCGCACCGTCATCTTCGCGAGAAGAGTATTGCGCTCAACGACCTTGACCCTACGAACCTCAAAGTTAATGGAATCAACTAAAGTTATTCGAATCGTTGCCGTCACGTGGAGATTCAGGTGACATTTCTTTTTTCGCCGCGATTATGAAGGTGATGAAGGACGCCTTATCATCAGGGTAGCAAGACAAAGAGACTGGTTACTTGGAAATAACCTTCATCAAGAGAACTTCCATTCCTCTTGAAATTGATGTATCAGCAATTCGATTCAATCCTACTGACACCGGACGTATTGACAATTTTCGGCGCTTTGCGACTTTGTAAAATCGTTGATTTCACATTTCGGGCTATTATTGGCCTACTGACGGCTAATTTACTCTTGGGAGCAACAATGGACTCGAGGCGCTACATTTGTAGACGTAGTGACCTGTATTTTGAGTTTGATTGCATTTCTGCAATCCTTTGTATCCTATATAGCAAGCCCTTCTGTTGATCATGCAAAGGCCAATCCGACCGATACTTTGATATCCACTTGTCTTGGGGGTGCGATAGGAACCAGAGGTGACGTTTGACGATCTCAGACCAAATTCTCCCTGTTCTGCCACGACTATAGCTTGTTCTAGCGTATCCATTGTTAAGCGGAACAGATGGGTATTAATGGGACTATCTTCAACATCTTGCATGAATACAGTAATTAACGTTTGTTAATGAATAGGGCTGGACGTGATGAAATACAATAAGTGGCGAATGATCCGAGCGTAAGAATGCACGTCAATCCTACCCTGCCTTAGTTTCAGGAGCTTGAATCGAGCCCTTGACGGATCAAATGTCTGTCCGGGACGGTTCTATAAGACTATAGACCCCAACACAACGAGTCATGACGCTTGTGACCTAAGGATTAAGTTTGGCACGCCCCGTCATGTTTGACAGGGCGAATGTGACTTTAATATCCCCTTTCATGATGCAATGAGCCCTCATGGCGTCTTCCAACTAGACGGACTATCTCAATAAGGAGTCTTATAGAGTTCCGTGCACTTTGATCTGTCTTTAAAGGTTTAGGTCGACGTGCGTGCGTCAACTTCAAAACAGCAGCCTGTCATTGCTGCGATCTCAACAGCTCTTCCCGTTGAGAACCTTGATGGTGAATCAAGGATACTTTGGCCTTCCCCTCGCTAGGTTCATGCTGGATGGATTCATAAATCGCTGCAGTTGATCGTTTCATTTCAGGGCGAGCACAGCGGTCTTGACGGCATACCCGCCTACGGTCGAACGAACGAGCTCGACCGCCGCCCATTCCATGTCACTAAAAATTGCGAACCCTTCACGCACCGCGCGAATTGGTGAAAGGAGACAGCCCCGCTTGTACTGAGCGTAGGCAGGTACCTCGAAACCTCACGTTCACTGTACGTGCTGATGAAGGCCGACTATCCTAAAGATTACGTTAAAAAGAGGAAAATGTGAAACTGCATATGTAATAGTTCATGTTACCTAATTAAACCTCTTTTGCTCTTACTTTATCGATACTAAACTACAAGCTCCATATGTCGACACTCGCTCATCACTCATTGCGCGCGTCCAGTAGCGATATGTGGTTTAGCTGGTTGACATCATGGCCTATCTTAACCAATAAGTTGAGCGGCTCGGAATGTTACCTTCGAAGGTTATATTCCTCCAACGTTTACTCGACAAGGTAAATATCGGAGAACAGTATCAACTGAGATAATATCCTAATTGACCTAATTTCGTGTCAATGACAGGTAACGGGTGAGCCCGTTGCAGCTTGTTACGTTCAACACCTGAATCCATCAGTACCCAGTAGTGAATTAGCATAAGATCTGAAGGAGTTTGAAGCGTACGATTGTGTTAAGCTGCACATTTCTATGCGAACAAAATGGATGACTACCAAATACGTACGCTAACGCCCTTCACCCGAGTTTTTGGTCCAAGCGATGCTTAGCTGCACCCACAACCAAGGTAAGGTGTTACACGTACGCTGCAAAACCGGCTTTTTCGAATGTCCAGTTGTTCCAGAGAGCATTGCGAGAGGCAGTCATATTTCCTCCGCGCTTACAAACGCCCAGTGTCACCGCGTAGCCAAGGATTGTCCTCCCACCGATACGACCCTCCTCACGGTGTTATATCGTCGACCAAAGTGATGGTCTCATTGACATTGCTCAGCTGCCAATGTCGGGTAAAGACTATTTCGGTATGATTTGGCCATAACAGATAGGGATCCCCCTTCATCGATGGCCTTTTCCGATTGCGCCGATTCTAGATCATGACATCTGAAATGTACACCAACCTGTTTTCCAGCTGTTTTCGTGTACTGATTTAAGCGACCACCAACAACGCGTCAAGACCTGCAGACCGACTTGGGACACCAATGGCCAAAGCCTATTGCACCGGTGGACGAACGAAGAAGCAGCAGAAGAGGCGCCGCAATGGCAAAGTGCGTCTCGATTTACAGTCCCAACTCTGTCAGCTCTAGTGCCCATTGCTTACGCGTTTGTGTGTACAGAAACACGCAACAATCGACGCTTCAGACGCCGTCGCGCAGCAGATTCGGTCTGTAAAGGCCCAAGTCAACGCCGTTTTCTCGCTGACGACATCCTCGAACCCCAATCCGAAGAACTTGGGGCCATTTAGTGACCGTCAGCAGATTCTGGTGGTCGGCGACGGAGACTTTTCCTTCTCGTTGGCCCTCGCGGTCTTTCTGGTGGGTAATCGTCGGCAGTGAGACCGTTAATCGCTCGTGTGGGGCTTATGTGCTCAAGTGCTTATCTGTTGGGTGTGTTGTCTACAGGGAGGTAGCAAATTAATCGCCACTTGCTACGATTCGAGAGAGGAGCTCAAGGAGAAGTACCCGAGCGCCTTATCCAATTGTGACGCTCTCGAGACTGCTGGGGTACGGCCGACAACTGATAGTAGAGTGGCTATTTGGACTGACATCTCTGGCCTCGACCGACTCACCTTGTAACTTTACTGCAAGGCCCACGTACACTTCAGTGTAGACGCCACACGGTTAGACAAGCAGAGCTGGCTTCGTGCCGCTGCGCCGTTCCACTCGATCGTCTTTAATTTCCCGCATTTGGGTGGCGCGACGGAAGCAGATGTAGCCAAAAACCAGACATTGCTGCGGACGTTCTTCTACTCGACGCGGGAGTACGTGCATCCGACGCGTGGCCAAGTGTTAGTGTCACTGCGTGATACACTGTTTTACAATCGCTGGAACATCCAAGAGCAGGCCGCGGCTAGTGGTTTCAAACTGAAAAGGTATGGGTGAAGTTGGCACATTCTGATTGCGTTGAGACGAGAGAAAGTGATGCTCCTAACTGCCTCATGCGTACCGACAGGATGGAGCCGTTCAATGCAAGCATTTACTCAGGCTATGAGCCGCAGCGAACGCACCCGGCATCCTTCCGAGGCGAGCCACCGTCGACAACAGGAGCACGCTACTACATCTTTGCGCTGGACGGAAGCATCCAAGTGGTTGACCCACGCCAACAATTGCCCCGGACTTTGGACGGTGCCAGACGTACACGCGATGAAAGGGTGAGGGTGTACGTGATAGCAAACTGACGTTACAAGTTGCGAACTAATGGATCGTATGCAGCAGGAGGCAGTGGACAAGAAAACTGCTGTCCTACCGAAGAAGATGGTCTGTCAGACGTGCTGTCTCACGTATCGGGACATGAAGAGATACAACGGACACATGAATTCCGCAAAGCACGCGAAGAAGGTAAAGGCGCTCAAGACGAAGCACTGAACAGGATTCGACCAACTCAAGAAGAAGGCACCGAACGAGATGTGGCCATTGCAGCTTGCAGCAACGCTTTCGTGCCGTCATTGCATGACTATGACTGATAGAGCAAACATGTTCCACACCATTGCCACTTGCCTTGTAAAGTCAACACGAGCAGTGCAATCCACTTCTGTGCGTCCTCGAGCCACACGTCGAAGCGCAACTCCGGCAAGTGACATGCGCTCGAACTTCCTTCAACATGGCTACTTCTCATGGTGTCACGGATCTTATATCGCGTCCGCGCAACGCAGTGGTGTTGCCAATAGCAGCATTATGGATAACAACCATGACGATACAGGCTCCTGTCAAGTATACCCACCTGTGCACATCACATATCTCTTGTTGGTCGCAAGTTGGTCCACATGAGCGCATGACTGCCGCTTCAATCTGAAGCTAACGGTGCCACTGACGATGTGCTTCGCAAGGTCAGCGAACTATGCGTCAAGCTGTTTACTCCTTTCCTGATCGATATCGCTCGTCTTCTGTACTTTGCTGAGGTACTTGAGAGCTGAGGGATGCAGATGTTACAGGTGGAATGCTCATCCAGCTATCTGCACTTATGCACAATCTGTGTAGATGCCGTTCGGTTACAGACCACAGAGTGTGTTCAGGTTTGCTGGTGTGGGCCATTTTGATATCGCTCGTGATACGTGTTCTTCCACACTTGGGCATTCAGTAGTCGTCCTGCAGTCTTTGGCGATGGCATCCGTTGAGTCAACGAGGAACTGTCAAGCAATGACTGACGACTGGTTCATGAGAGAAGCTTGAGCACGCCGACTATACTGGCAGCAGCTATAATGTTCGCGACAAGAATGTGTAGAGAGGCCGCTCGGCATGTGCGTTCCGCGACAATATCGGATTGTAAACGAGTACAGAAGCGCGTTAGTGCGTCATTGTCGTCATGACATCTGTACACGATAGCACACCGAGTTGTTGCATTTGTTGCGCCTGAAGTTGCTCAGGTGCCACAACTCTCTTGGCTTCTCATCGATTCACACCCCTTCAGCGTCTTGTTTGGCTCACTACTCCTTCGTGTGGTACCAGCATGTGCTACCAGTTCGCGCACTTCGCATCGCCTACTTTTCAATAGGGAGGTCGCTACGCTGACCCCACTCCGACCACGATCCGTCGTACACGGGCGCCCTGTAGCGACAAAGCAAGCGACGAAAGCACAGAGTTAGGTCAAAACTATTGGCAAAGCCTGAGCTGAAGAATAACGAGTGCTTACTTCTCCAGTGGCTTGCCGATCAAATGCAGGCCGAAGGTGAGAATGCTCGCAGTCACTCCAGATCCGCAGCTGTTTATGCAAACGCAGGGACACAACGACATCGAAGACAATAGTCCCGGCATGTAAATGACAAACTCTTATCGTGAATTGCAGTACCCGTCAAGCAATACAAATGTCTATGCGTACGTGGTAATGACCGGACTAGTGTCGTCCACCTTGACATCTACAATGCAGCCGCCCAAGAACGTCAGGAAATGTCCAACAGTACGTACAAAAACAAACGTACTCGCTTCGGCGAAGGCGCTTTCGATATCAGCAAGGTCTCGGAATAGCTGACGCATAGTATCGCAATATTAGCATCCGCAAAAGCACACTTTGCATGCTTGAGAGTTTGAATGACCCACCGAGAAGTCGTCTGAGTGGACAATCTTGTCATACGGCACGTTGGTAGATCCTGGAATGTGTCCCGCACGCATGCCTGGGCGTGGCTCCTGCATCGACAGGCGACAAGTTAGTAACAAAGCAATACTAGTAGCATCGCCAACACGACTACTGAACCTACCGGGTCCTTGCCGTAGAAGCGCACGGCTCCCCGCGCGTCCAGGATCTGCGTGTCCGAGCCAATTTTGGCCAGCACGTCCTTCCACGACACAACAAGAGCTTCGTTGACACGGGCCTTGTACGGGGCGCCCGCTGCCACCTTTTGCGGCTCCCCCGTTTCCACTTGACGTTCCTCTTTTGCCCACTTGGTGATCCCTCCTGACAGAAAGCAAAGCGACCCACACACGTCACACACCTGCTACAGCCCTCAGCCTGTCGTCAGGAGCTACACTCACCGTTGAGAATGTGCACACTGTCGTGCCCAAAGAGCTTAAACGTCCACCAGCAGCGCGCGGGACTGAGGGCGCCACATCAACGCCGCAACTGTCAGTCAGCTCTTCACTTTATCCTCCTACAAGTGCAGCCACTTATTGGTCCACGCACCTGAAGCAATTGCGGCCGCCGTAGACCACAACCGTATCGTCGTTTTGCACGCCCAGACGCGCCATAGCCGTCTCAAACGTCTCCGCTAGTGCAGTCAGCACGACAACGAACGTCAACACAGTCTCACAGCCCATCGCGCAGCCCACTCGTGCGGGTGGGTACCCACCTGTGGGCACCATATGCGGCAGATCCGACGTCCCGTCTGCGATCGTCTGAATATCGAAGAACTGGGCGCCCGGAAGGCGCTGCGAGGCGAACTCGCTCTTGGGGTCTCGGCTCTTGTCCAGGTACCAGGACGCGTCGAGGAAGCGCACGCGAGGGCCGCTGCGGTCGTGCGACAGCGCCTGCGCCTCTTCGGTGGAGAGGAGAGGCGACATGGAGGAGGTGGCTGCGTGGGACGAGGCGCGGGCGGAGCGAAGGGGCGACGAGGGGGAGCGGCGGACGAGCGTAAGCATCGGACGGGAGCGACTGTGTGAGCTGTTGGGATGGGAGTGAAATGGCATACAAAGGGCGAGAGGTTGAAGAGCGATGGGTACACGTGGGTGGATGCATGTGATTGGCTCGATTGGTGCTGGCAGGTATGTTGAAGGTGACTTGGCGACAAAAGATGACGTAGGAAACGTAAAGCGGCCGATAGATGTCGAGAGTATGCGTCATCATACGTATCTATCTATCGATCCACCTATCCATCTATCTATCTATCTATCCATCTATCGATCGACATATTTTGATATCGTTTGTCCTTTTGCTAGGCGTGACTGTCGATGTCGAGCGATTATAGCTTTGTGCAAATTGTACGACGAGGTCTGCCACCTCTTCTTGGCCGGACCCTGTAACTTACCTCGCGCGCAATCCGCTGCAATCAGGGTGACTAGTATGCCTTGCAGCTCCAAGAGCCACTACAAGCGTAAGGACACATCCAATGCGCGCTATAGCAAACACTTTGTCACTACAATCTTGTCTCGAGAAATGCTGCAAAGAGAGCCGAATGCACTGTCACGCACCACCCCGTTGTCGACATTGTTGATCCCTGACACACAGTGTGGGTGCAGCACAGTCTTTACGGCAATTACGATCAGCAGCTCGCTACCTTTCGCACGGTTCAGCCGTCGTCGGCAGCTCGGGACCGTCAACATGTTTGGCCGTCAGGATGGACGTCATGTGGAGCGCTGCATGGAAACGAATACCACGAGCACAGAGTCGTCGCTAACTATGCTATGGTGGCGTGTTTTGCACTACTGTACCAATCCCCTGGGCTTATTGTGGTAAGGCGCCACTCGACAGTACGAAGAATGCGCTGATCATCGTGCTGCAAGAGCGCGTGGCGAAACGGACGACGGATCCAAAGTCAAGTGGATATCAACTTTGTGCCTACAGCCGTCGATAAAAAGGGACAACATTGTGGCGAGGTCGTCGATGCTTTGACTTCTGCGGGTAAGACATCAGCTATGTCATCAACAGATTCCTCAGTCGGTCGTACTCTACTACTGCCCTCTCTTTATGTAATCGCTTTTCTAGCACACTTACCGGTCAAACCTCAATTTCGCATCTGGGCGACTGGTCCCTGCCGTGTCGAGCGCGATAGCGCTACAAACGTTAGAGTGACCTAAAGCCTGTCTAGCGAAATGTTCGGTCGAGACTGATTGGCGAAATGTTCGGCTGAGACGGATTGACGAAATGTTCGGTAAAGGTGATCATGGAGTGTGCTTCGACCAATTACGTCGATTGCATGCTTAGAATTGACTGAAAGCGAAGACCTCAGCAAATATTTGAGTCCCGTCACAATTCGACATGAGCCAAGAGCGAGATGCGGCCGAGACGTGGGACTTGAAGTGGATGGCAGCGGTCCTACAGAGCTCGGAAGCGTATGAAGCAGCGCTCGAGACGGCAGAGGTATGTGTGACGACGACTCGCTGTCTTGTGACAGAGCAGAAGAGACAGATCGCAGTTACACTTTTGCGTTGTGTCGTGGGTAGTTTCCTGGCTTACTGTTGACAGCGCTGGAGGAGCTGTTGAAGGCTCCAGAGGCTAATGCAGCGCAGCTACAAGAGCTGTTTGACATTTGTACGTGAGATCACAGCTACCAGTGATTCTCTTTCGATGGTGCACGTGACACCGACCGACGCTGACAATTCTGACGTTCAGTGCTGCAGATGATTGAGTTCCCCATTGACTCGGAGCTGCACCCGGACACTGTGACGTTACTGCACTCATCCCGAAACTGGGCGATCCAGACGCTACTAGACGTCGAAGTAGGCCAAGCAAGAGTCATGGATGAAGCTCTACTGCACTCCCCAACGACGATGCCCAAGTGTTTGCAGCACATGCAGTCCACTCTATTCGTATCGGCGCCTTGCCGAAGTGCAGATGTAGAAATGGAACTGATTGAGTCGATGCTCGTGGCACTGGAAGACGAAGCAGATAGCGACACGATCTCCGATGTCTTGGAAATGTGCGCGGCAAGTTTACAGAATGACTCGGGCTTCCTGGAGTTCGCGGAGACGGCGTTGTCAGGAAAGTCTGAATCGTTGAAACTGGGCAGTGGTTTCCTCAAACGATTGTATGATCGGATACCTAGACAGCTGCGCGCAGACGAGGGAATAGTCGAGCATGATGTGCGGCGTGGACGGCGATTGTTCGACGCACTAACTCTCGAAAGCAGAGTCCGTGTGTGGGCGAACCACCTCCCTAGTTGGCGGACACAGTTGCAGACTTGGATGTTAGCAGCGCATCGATCGCCACTCGAGCCCATTAGCTCTGTTGTACGTGACAGATGGTGGTCTCAGGATGACTCAAGTACAGATGGCATTTTCGTGACGTGCCGGCGCCATTCGCACTTGTACGTCACATTCATTGAGTGGTGCAGATGTCATGTGCATCTGCTGTCATCGTGCCGTGGCATGGAGTTAGTGAGTATGGTATCTCAGAGCACTCGACCAGAAAACTCAGCACGTCTCTTCGGTCGCCAACTACTGAGCCACGTGCCGCTGGACGGTTGGTCATTGGGGAGCTGGTCGTGTGACCAGCGACAACAAGCGTTCACCACGATACAGATGAATCTCGAGCGTCTACAAAAGTCGTGCAGTACGTCAGACGTTGTGTGGCAATACGAGTGGATCGGAATACTGGAACGGTCTCACCTGCTTCATGAAGCGCTGGAGCTTACGTTTCAAAGTGGCACGGACAGCAATAAGATTCACATGAACAACGGGGACCAATGTGCAGCTCAGAGCTCTGTAAAGTTCTTCAGCTGGTTTCACTCATTCCATACACCAGAATCTGCTGATGAAATCGCTTCGCTGCTTCTGATGCTGTCGTCGAAGCTCAAGGTGCCGGAAATGTGCAGTGGCGCGCAATGGCTGAGGCGAAGTCGCGCTGACTTTGGGTCCCTTCCCATTCTACGTCTTCGTCTTGTGTGGTTTTGGCTGTTGAAAAGCATTGATGATCACTTGCATGCGCGTACGGTCATGTGTGACGATCGCGCTGTTACATTGGCCACAACCGATGTGCTCGAGTCCATCGAGTATGTCTTTCGGCGCTTTACGCCGCAAAGAGCTAAACGGTGAGATCTGTCGTGACTTGGATCGCATGTCTACACCAGTGACTCACGCGCTGCTTTTGCTGTCATGTCATTAGGCCGTTCCAAGTAGAACTTGTCACGCAACTACTCGTTGAGCTCGAGTGGCGGGTAACAAACACACGATGCGAGACAAAGAGCAAGATTTGGGGCGTGATTGAGCCTGTGCGGGTTTGGCTGGCAAAGGTCGTGAGCTTGATGCAGCTCGAAGAGCAAGCTGTGCATCAGAAAGACAACAGAATGGGCTACGGCAGCCGCAGGAACGCGGCAAACGACGTGGAGCACTTGGCTACTCGCCTGGAGCAGTTGCTTTGTTAAAAGCAAAATAGCTGCTATCATTGCAACACTCGCTCAGTCATCGCCATTCCGCTAACGGACGATGCGCGACCGCTATGGTGACTCAGTAACGCTCGCGCGCTCGGACTGACGCTCTATTGCTCCAAGACACCGTCTGACTTCTGGATCTTCAGCGAGAAGTCCAGGCACGGGTAGCCTTGTGTGAGGTTGCCCTGGCTCACAACATCTACATCTGGTGAGACGTACTGGCCAAGCGTCGCGGGCGTGATGCCGCCACTAGCCTCAATCAGCACGTGCGGAAACTGCTGTTTTAGCGCAGCGGCCGTGGCCTTGAGCTCTTCCGGCTCGAAATTGTCCAGCATGACGATGTCAGCGCCAGCTGTAGCAGCTTCCTGTGCCTCTTCGAGACGACGGCACTCGACCTCAATCTTCACCGAGAAGCCGGTGGCCAGTTTGGCCTTGTGCACGGCCTTGGTGATGCTACCGGCGGCCCACACGTGGTTGTCCTTGAGCATGACCATCTGCGACAAGTCGTAGCGGTGCGTAGAAGCGCCAGCCACGAGCAGCGCGTACTTCTCCACAAGACGGAAGCCCGGCGTCGTCTTGCGGGTGCCAGCCACATGGCCGGTCCAGCCCAGCGCACGCACGAGGTCCACCGAGCGTCGAGCCACTGTGGCCACACCGCTCGCACGCGTGAGGATGTTGAGTGCGGTGCGCTCGCCCAGCAACAGCTGGCGGCACTTGCCCGTGACTCTGGCCACAACGACTTTGCCGCTCGGGACGCTGCTGGGCTCGACCTCGTCGCCTTCCTGGAGCAGCCACTCGACGCGGCAGCCGAGCGTGCGGAACACCTCAGTGAAGAACGGAGCGCCAGCAAGAACACCTGCGGATTTGCCCAGCAGCAGCGCCGTCTCCTCGGTCTCTGCACGTGGCGATATCATCACTCAGTCAAGTTAGCCACGTGTCGATACGGCCGTTCAGTATCAGCTACTGCCGGGAAGAAAAGAGAGGCGCGCGGGATCTACAGACTCTGCTGCACAACGCACCGCCGACTACGAAGCCACCGACGTCAAAGGACGGAACGTCGTCTTCCAGCCACTGCTGCACGTGTGTCGCCCACGACGGCGGCAGCAGATGCGCAAAGTTCGGGTTCCTCTCCTCAGTGCTCATGTCGGTCGCGCCCGCCGTGTGTCCGGTTCTCTCTCGGTCTGAAGCCGACGATCCGATGAGAAACGAATACGAAACGCGGATTTCTACCGCGCGTGAAGTAGTCGCGAAGTTAGAAACCGAGCGAGGAACAGAGACGTGGCGACCGTGCCACACGCGACCGCCTCGGTCGGACAGAGGCCGGTGGAGGGCACTTCGCGTGGTGCACACCAAGTAGAAGTCCGCCACCCGCGATCCTTCCTTCCTGCAGCGCGCGCCCTCCATACGCAGCCCAAAGTGCCCGCACCGACCCCTCGCACCAGTCACAACTCACTCGCGCTGGACCCGTCGAGGCCGAGGCAACCGACCGATCGACGCAGACCGAGTCCACCACAGCTGCATCGTCTCTACATCTCCCGTCCCCCCCTCTCTCTCTCTCCCGCCACGCAGAGGTCCCCTGTCCCACGCGCGCCGCCCTGGCCCACGCCAACGTCAACAGCAACGACCATCACTCTCCCAACGCCGTATCTTCTATGTACAGCCCACCCGCCGCCCCAACAGCGCGTCCCGACCGCAGTGGCCACTTGCGCTTCGCCGGCCGCGCGCCCAACGCGTCGACTGCTCCGACGGCCTCCGCGTCGCCGCCCGCGTCACCGGCCGCGCGGCAGTCGCTCACGCGCGACGCGCTCTGGGGCTTTGACGACGCACTGGCGCAGTCGCTGCGGGCGCTCACGTGCGCGCCGAACGCCACTGCCACAGAGAAGCGGCCGCGCAGTTTCTCGGACTACGCGTCGCGCTGGCGAGCGCACGGCGAGCGCAGTGAGCTCGGGGCGCTCTGGGACGCCATGAGGACGGACCGTACGTCGCGCCACGTTGTCGTGCGGTGCGGCGCGGGCACGTGGGACGCGGTGGACGTGCGTCGCGTTGTGGACCGCCTGAACGTACGAGTCGCTCGTGCTGCTGTGTTCGTGGACGTGTGTCGCTGACCTTTTGCTGTTGTGTTGTTGTTGTCGCTATAATTGTTGTGGTTGTTGTGGTTGTTGTTGTAATTGCAGAACTTTGGGAGTGTGGCGAGAACGTGTCGCGCGTTGACGGCGCACGGACTGCTGTTTTGCACCTTTTTTGACCTCACGAGTGCCGTCGCGGCGGTCGACCGCTGGCGCGCAGACGCCGACGTCATCAGCTTTTGTCTGCCGTACGAGCTCCCGGACGACATCAACTCGGCCACACTGCTCGTGCGGTTCACGCTCCGTGCTGGGCCACCTGTGACAGCCTCAGCACTGCGCCACGTCTGCGCGTGTTTTGGCCAAGTGGCGAGTGTGTTGCAGGCTGACCCGCAGGTCGCCAAGTACATTGTCGAATACAGCGACTCGCGCGCGCTGCCCGCAGCGCTCAATGGGCTGCACCGCGCGCTCAATGTGAGCGGGTCGCTGTCTGTCGCTCGCACGACGCCGCCGACGTTGGACTTCGTCAAGCTCAAGCTTTTCCAGGAGTGCTTGAATTGGGCGGCGACCACGCACCCTCGAGTCACTAGGGCTCGCCCCAAGAGCTTCTCATCGAGTACCACGTCGCTGTTGACATCGCCGACGTCGTCTGTCGCGTCGTCGCTCAACGCGTCCTTCTTGGATAATGCAAGTGCGAACAGCCCAATGACGCCCGGCACTTCGGCCGAGCTCTCTAGTAGCAGAGAGATCGCTTCTCCTGTGCTCATGCCTCAGACAGAACAGCACATTTGGGCAAGGCCGGCGCCGCGAGGCAGGAGCCATTCTTCGTCTTCGTATCGTGGCGGCTCTCTGTCATCGAGCAGCTTTGACGGATCTCAGACGAGCTCCACGAAGTTGTCAATTTCGTCCCCATGTAGCACAGGCGATCGTGCAAACGACTACTCGCTCTTTCGGGCAGCTCATCGATTGCAACCCTTGAACAGCAGTACGACGTCTCCATTGACTGCAAAGCAGCAAGGGTATCATCAGCAGCAACAGCAGCAGCAAGCCTACCACAATCAACGAGGAAGAGAGCGCGCGCAGACCATGTGTGCCTCGATGAGAAGCAGTGTTGGTAGCTGCGATCCTTTTTGTCAATCTGGCGCAGCTCGCAGTGGCGGACACGTTAGCGATCATGGCGGCAGCACTGTAGCACGGTCATCCATTGGGCGTCATGATCGAGGTACAGGCGAATTCAACTTGTCGCTCGATAAGGTTGCATCGGGGGAAGACAAAAGGACGACTTTGATGATCCGCAACATACCAAACAAGTACACACAGCAGATGCTACTCGCAGAAGTCAATCGCAACCACCGCGGTGACTACGACTTTTTCTACCTGCCCATCGACTTCAAGAACAAGTGCAACATGGGCTACGCGTTTATCAACTTCATCGAGGCGGCACACATCAAGGCGTTTCATCAGGAGTTCGACGGCCAGAAGTGGACGAATTTCAACAGCGAAAAAGTCTGTGCCATCTCGTATGCCAGGTTGCAAGGCAAACAGGCGATGATCGCACGTTTTCAGAATTCAAGCTTGCTGGAAAAACACGAGTCGTACCGCCCGCTCGTTTTCGGCAGTTTTGGTTCCAACCGCGGCAAACCAGAGCCGTTCCCGGCCCCGAAGCCAATTGCTCACAAAAAGCAGTCAGTGCAAGCACACTCTCCAGCAATGTTTGAAGGTGAAGATTATGGCAACTACGTCGCGCGCCACACGTATGCTCCACAGCAGCCACCGCATCGGCCGCAACACGTGCAGTACGAGCACTCACTCGCCGTGCATCCTCCTCAGGGGATGGTTTACACGCCGCAGCATGCCATACCTCCGCCCTCGACAGCGAACTGGTTTCACGTTGGCATGCCGGCACTGCCGCTGCACTACGTCCGGTCGTACCAGCGAAACGACTCCCAACTGGTCTCACCAATTTTGTACAGAGTGACCGAGATACCGCCAAACGCGCTGGATCACACGCAGTGAGACATAGCAGTGTCATGGCAAACGGTGCTGCTGAACCCAGCGTGGCGACTGACTCAACGACCAAGCCTGACTTCAAAGTATCTGGCTGCGCTTGTGTACATACCCTTGTTTACTCTTCGGCTTGCCGGGTCAAGGTTGGCCCCCATACTCACATTGACTGACTGGCACTAGCTCAATAACTCGACCGCAAATACAGCAACTAGCATGTGTACAGCAAATGCAATGCAAGCAATGAGCGCCAGCGCAGTTGTCACGACAGAGAGCTGCTGTCACGTTGCGAACAGGAATCGGAGGTCTTCCTCAGTGAGGCGGCATATCGCGCTCACATTCGCGCCAACAGTCCCTTCGAAGATCAAGTGCTTCTTCTCTTGAAGCTTCAAGATGCGTTCCTCGACAGTGCCGGCAATGATGAAGCGAGTGGCTTGGATCGGCTTGAACTGGCCCAATCGATGAGTACGATCGATGGCTTGGCTTTCGGCAGCAGGGTTCCACCACGGGTCCATCAGGAAAATGCTGTCACAGTGGCAAAGAACGGTTAGCCGACAGTACCTGGCGAAGGAACGGCATCGACCATACTTACTGTGACGCGACAGTCAAATTGAGTGCAACACCGCCAGCCTTGAGGCTGATCAGAAACGCTGTCACCGTCGGGTCGTCACGGAAAGCTTTGATGGTCCGGTCTCGTGCGCTCATGCTCATGTTGCCGGACAGCTTCACGCAATTGATCTTGCCAAGCTGCAGTCGATACTGGATAATGTCAAGCATGTTCACAAACTGCGAGAAGATGATCGCTTTGCCGGATGGATCACGGATACGCATGAGCTCCAGCTCTTGCATGAGCGCCTCGACCTTCGTACTCGACTGGAAGGCGTTGACGTCGGATAATCGGTGCAGAATGCTGTTTCGATGAAAGCTGGACAGCTTCACCGAGTTGCACGATCGGTTGCTACTCGACAAGTTGGCAACCTCAGCGGACGCGTCAACAGGTCCAGCGTCTTCGACTGGCAAGGACAGATCAACAGTCAACGCTTTTGTGCACGTTGGGCATGTTGCTTCTCCGCCGGTCGGAAGCGACTCGATGTATTCCTTCACGCATTCCCGACAAAACTCGTGCCCGCACTTTGCGACCACGCCATCTTCTATGCCCTCGTGGCAAATCGCGCACGATCCCTCGTCATCCGGACTGCTGCTCTCGCTGGTACCGAACGGCTTCTCTTCCACCAATGACGCGACTGGGTTTGGCAGCTGGAGTGCCGGGTTCGACTTGGAGTAGATGACGAGATACGGATGGTCCACTGCCTGGCGAAGGCGAATCAGAAGATCGAAGATGTGCGCATAGTTGTTCAGCAGCGTTCCGGATGAGACGTAGGTGTTGAACTGCGCTTGGCTCTGCGTGTAGATGGCCTCGTAAAAGTCCTTCTCACGCTCGTCCAAGCGATCCTTCCGAATGCGCACCAGTTTAGGCGGAAGCGAGATATCGTCCGCACGTCCTTCTTTCGTGCGGCGCAACAGAATCTACACACACATGTCCCAATGCCGCACACTCAATGGTGGCAAGATACACTCATAAATCAAATACAAGCGGTACTTACGTGCTGTAGAACATCGTTTTGGAGTCGTTGCATGGCAAGTTTGCCCTCAGCAACATAGCCGTATGCTTGGATGGGAATGACGACCTTCTTGTTGAAGTACGAGTAGTGCTGAATGGCACTATGCGGGCATTGCACGCACTTTCGGTCTGGGAAGCTACATACACAGCGTGCACGTCAGATCATAACAACTCGAGGTCACCGTTGTTGCACAGAAACAGCTTACTTGTAGTCCAGCATCTGACAGTCACACATGTTGCAGTGGTAATACGCGTATCTCTTCACACGGAGGAACCGCACAAGAGAAAACAGCTCGCCGATGCGGTTTTGTAGCGGGGTGCCTGTAGAAACAACACAGTGAGACGTGGTCACGACGCACTCGACAGCTCACGTATGCAACGATTGCTTACCTGACAAACACCACCTGTAAGTAGCCTTTAGCTCAAAGACGCCCCGCGCGGTATTACAATTGCGATCTTTGATGTAGTGTGCCTCGTCGAGAACGATTCTCGTCCACTCGATCTGGTGAAGAGGTGACTTGCCCTTCGTCTTCTGATGGCTGCGTATCCTGTCATCAAACGCTTTGCTCAATCGCGCATTCGCACGACTTTTCGTCTTTCGAGTCGGCTTTTTCAACTCGTCGTCCTCTTCACTGTCCTCTCCAGCAGCTTTCTTCTTGCCTTTTCTTTTCTTCTGCTGGCGATCCTGCAGGGCGGTCTTCTGCGCGTCTGGACCACAAAAGTACTTGTTGTGCGATACCAACTTGTCTGGCAAATACTTCTTCCCACAGTACTTGCACGCAACTTTTGACCAGCCAAGCGTTTTGCGGATCTCGTTCTCAATAATCGAGTACGTCGTAAGCACAATGTCGTAGGAAGCAATCTTCTCCACCGCATCCAACCGCTTGGGACCATGATGTACGTACACAGAAAGATGACCGGGTTCTACAAACCGCTCGATTTCGCTCTTCCATTGCATGACAGCAACCAGAGGGCAGACGACAAGCGTACCCCCACGCGATTTACGACCTGTAGCAGCCTTGGCGCTTGTCGACAGGTCCACCTCTCGAGGATTTTCGAGGATGGCCGATAGTGCCTGAATCGTTTTGCCCATTCCCATTTCATCGGCCAGAATGCCGCCTTTGTAATCGCTCTTCTCCTGTCCAACCATCCACGCCAATGCTTCGAGTTGGTACGGAAGAAGAGTGGCAGTCAAGTACTTTGACGGTTGTTTCTCTGGCATGCGACCTTTTTTGTTGAAATGGTCGTCTGCAAGTGGGAGGCGCTCGTCGATCACACCGTTGAGGTCGCTCTGCTCCATGTACTCACGGACACGCTTCTGGTCGGCAGGCTCAAGCTTCGACAAGCCGTCAATCGGGTCATCGTCGCCTTTCTTCGTCTTTGGACTCTTCTCATCGATAACATCAATGTCCGGTTCTACTTCGACTTCGTTGGCAGCGATCCCAGCTTTCAGCCCAATTGCAGTACACTCTAAGTGCTACTCGTGCAATTGACATCCACACATACACCAGTCAGTACTACGGAAGCAAGAGTCGCGTAGAACAGCAGACGTACCTTGTAGTATGTAGTGTCGCCAAAGATTGAGTGGCGGATGTTGACGCCAACTCGCAATTCCTTGACGAGAAGTTTTTGCTCGCAGCTTTTGCACTATGACAGGCACACGGACATACGGTATGAGAGCATAGTCCATCTACACAAGCAAGCACAAGTGCAAGTTTACCTTTGCTCGTCCGCTGGCTGCATATTCGACAAAGTAATGCGGACCACCGTACACAACTTCATCCTCCGAGCTGGCGCTCTCGCCGATGATCTCAATATCCAGCGAATCGACGTCGCTGACATGATCGGCACTGTTCGCAACAGGGCGGGGAGGCACAGGAGGTGTCTGCTGCTGTACTCGGCGACCAGACTTGTCCTTTCGCTTTGCAACCGACTGGGTGGTTACGGGACGTCGTCTGGATCGTTTCTGCTTCTCGTCGTCACTCGAGACACCTACAACGTCGGTATCGTCCTCATAAACCGCCTCGTCCGACACGGTTTCAACGACAAAATCGCTGTCGTCGTCTCCGTCGTCACCGTCGTCATCGTCATCCTCTTCTTCGTCCTCGCTGTTGTCATCGACGCGTGATCGAACAGCCGCCTTGCGACCTCCTGAAGCATTCCGCGATGCCGCACACTGTCGTTGGCGCTTTGTCTCGTTCGTCTTCCTCCTTCCGTCCATCGTCTTTGCCTTTTTCATTGCAGCTTTTCCATTGCGACGCTCACGCGGCGTCTGTACAGCGACCGCCTCGTGCTCCAACGTCCGCCTCGTCGTGACTCGACGCCTCTTGAGCGCCAGCTCGTCGCCTTGTCCCTCTGTGTCCCTCGCTCCGTTCCGCTTCCCCGTGCCGCCTCCTCTAACCACCAACGGCTCATCGTCTGCTTCTTCGTCTGCTTCTTCGTCTGCTTCTTCGCCTGCCTCTTCTCTGTCAATGCAGTCAGCGCACTGCCAGCGGTGTACTTCAGACGGTCGACGACGCAGCGGAGGCGTGAGACACTTCAAGTGGAAGCGCTTTGCGCAGACAGAGCAGCACACAGCCACGCGCTGCGACTGCTGCTGGCAGACTGCGCACGCGTCGCCGGCGCTCTCGGCAGCAACGGGCGACGCGCGGGGCTTCGGGCGCAGCGTCGCGGCCATTGACTGTGGTCTCGGCCTTCCAATTGGCAACTGAGTGGGACAGCTGTCTGCGCGTCAGCAGACGGGGCGGTGAGTGGGTGCAATACCACTGAGGAGCTCTTTGGTGTCGGGGTGGGGACAGAAAAGAGACTGATTTTGGCGGGTACGGGGGACTGACTCGGGTCGGGTGGCGCCAAGCGCTGTGTCTGGTGCCAGAAACGAGCCACACAAACAACGACATAAAACCGAGACAAACGACGCGCTCACTCGGCTCTGCGACCCTCTCACGCAGCTGTATTGCGCTCTGGCCAACAAGAGGCGACAACAGCCCCTCACCAACTGCCTGCCCGACGAGGCTTCTACAAGACGGTCATGGACGTCGCGTGGAGGAACGAACCCGGAGGCAGCACGAGCTTCTTGCGCGAGCGCAATGCACTGCCAGTGTTGAGCTTCTCCAGCAATTGACGAAATTGCTCCACCTCGCGGTCGACTTCGTCCCCTTCTGGGTCGTGCCTTTCCGGCGACGACGGCTGCAGCACCATTGCTGCTGCGGAAGCAGTAGACTGGTGAGCGAGTCGCCTGGGCGGTAGCGATCGGGTCCCTGCGTCTCGAGGAGGCACCTTCTCGGTCACCTTTTGTGCTACAGCCTCTTTCTTGCGGCGCTTCTTCTCCTTCTTGTTTTTCTTCTTCCGGCTGCTCGTGGAAGGTTGCTGACTTGCCTTGAGGTCTGCGAGCTCGTCCCGGAGCAGTTCCGCCTGAATCGCGAGCGAGTGCTGCAGCGCCTCTTGGTACGCGTCTTCCAGCTATCGTGCAGCAAAGTCGACACATCACGATTAGCTTCTTCTTCAGTCAGTAGCTCAGCAGCACAACGGCGATGTACCTGTTCTCGGAACTTGATCGCTAGTACTTCCAATATATATTCTTGCGCCAAGTGTGAAGTATTTGCGCCGGGGCACAAGTCGTCGACGTCGTCGTCGTCGTCGTTGTTGCTTTCTTCGCTTTCATCATCGTCGAGCCCGGACCGGAACGATGACACGTAGCTGAACTGTTCGCCACAGCGAATGAGGTCCATGATGAACTCGGTGTGGTCCTCTCGGACAATGATATAGCGCTCCTCTTTCTGGATCAATCGCATGAGCTCGTCTTCTTGTCGCTTGCCGACTTCCAGCGCTGCCAAGTACTCGTTCGATACCACACCACCCTCGCCGCAGGCATTCTGTCTACCTCCGCCTTCCAACTCATATTTAAACAAGAGTTCCTCGTCGCCTAGCATAATATCCTCTGCTGCGAGCATATCTTCGTCCGACTCGTCTTCTAGCCTACCTGTCTCTCCATCCTCCTCCTCCGCCTCGTCATTCTCCTCTCCTTCATCATCGTCCTCGTCCTCGTCATCTAAAAACGGCGGGAAGACGCTAAACACGTCCTGCAAAGAGCGACTGCTCGAGCGCTTTCGCTCGTGGTCTTCCCACTCGGCGATTATGTTGTCGTGACACTCGCAGCACAAGTTTTTGCCCACGAGGAACTGGTCGAGCGCAGTCAAATACGTCTCCCGGCGGATCCGAAGGAGCCGACGCTTGGCCACGAGTGACAGCTCGCTCCAGAAATTAACAAGCTCTTCTCGTGTGTAGCCCTTGGGGCCATTGAGTCCCATCACACTGCTGTTGCTGCTGCTCATGGCATCCGAACAAGCTCCAGCCCCAAAAGTCGGTGCTGCAGGAAGGGCTGTGAAGGCTGATACTGAGCTTCCGCTGTCTGCACGATCGACTCGAGGCACCGAGCGACTGCTACTGTCTCGTGAAAAGTCGTTCTCGGTCGGCCACGGATTCCTACCAGCAGAGAGGCAAACGACACACAAACCCACCCACACATACATACACACACAAACACACACAGAATCGATCGAGAGAGAGAGACATCGAGAGAGAGAGAGAAGTAGAAGTAGAAGAAAAAAACAGTCAATTGCGTGTCAAGAGTACGTAAGTGGACCTCGAAACCCGAAATAAGTGCAACCAAATAGCGCTTTACCGGTACTTGCGCGCGAGCATCGAGCCCGACGAGCGCCGCGGCGGGTGATGGGGCTGTCGATGCAGCGTCCCGTCCGTCTTGTTGCCCACGGGCTTTGCCTCTCGATGGCCGTGTCGCGTCAATGGTTTCGGCTGCCGCATCGCCCACGCAGACCGACAATCGTACGTCACTCACTCAGTCGCTTTGTTGGTCCCGTAAGTGGCGTGTGCGGCGTCACTGAATCGAGAGCGCGTTCCAAATTAAACGGACGTTTGCTCGCTCTCTACACCGTAAAAGCCGACCGAGTGCGACAAAAAGCACGGAAACACACACAAACACACACAAACACACACACAAATAAACACAACCACACACAACCACACACAATTAAACACGACCACACACAATTAAACACAAACACACACAATTAAACACCAACACACACAACCACACACAATTAAACACAAACACACACAATTAAACACAATTAAACATACTTAAACACAATTAAACCAGCACTTTCACATTAGACGGCTGCGCCCATGTCATCCCTCGCGGCGGCCCGAGCGGACGGGTACTACTTCCCGCGCGAGTGGCGGCCCGAGTTCGGTTCGCTCAACCGCTTCCGCCAGTCCCACGCGCGCGCCAACGGGAGACGTACTGCGCCCGCGCGCGTCGAAGGCGACGACCGCACAGCGCGTCGCGTCGTGCGCTTTGAGATGCCGTTCGACGTCTGGTGTAGCCACTGCGACGCGCACATTGGACGGGGCGTGCGCTTCAACGCGCGCAAGAAGAGCGTCGGTCGGTACTTGTCGTCGGTCGTGTACGAGTTCGCCATGCGCTGCGCCCGTTGCGGTGGGGACGTAGTCCTCAGGACGGACCCAAAAGCGCGCGGCTACGAGCTCGTGCGTGGCGTGCAGCCGAAAGCAGACGCCGAAGACGCGCAGGAGAGGCAGACGGAGCGCCTGAACGACGCGCAGGTGGCGGAGAAGCTACAGCGCGACCCGTTCTATCGACTGGAGCACGAGAACGAGGACAAGCGCGTGGCGAAGAAGCGCTCGCGGGGTCTCGAAGCGCTCGTGCAGCTGCAGGACGCCGCGTTCCGAGACGACTACGCGAGCAACTCGGCGCTTCGTGCGCAATTGCGCAGCGACAAGAAGCAGCGCAAGCGGCGACAGGAGGAGGCGACGCGGCTGGGGATTGGCGGTATTCCGCTTCTGGACGTGCATCCGGACGACGTGGTGGCGTCGCGAGCAGTCGTGTTCACGGGCATTCCACAGCAGCGATCAGCCGCGCGGGCTGCGAAAAGAGGCGGAAGGGTCCGGTCGAGTGGTGCGAGATCGTCTGCTGTTGCGGGGGAGAAAGCGGACCCGTTTGAGTGTTTCGGTGACCCCGTGGGGTCCAAGTTGCGCTGCATGAAGATGGCGAGACGCGCGGCCGAGAAGAAGCGGGCAGCTACGATGTCGGAGACGTGAGCGTTCGCGTCGTTGACGATCTTCACGCGCGGGTCAGGGACAGACAGCGTTGTTGTTGCTGCTGCTGCTGCGTCAACGGCTCGACGAGATGGGTTCACAGGGGCAGCGTTCGGGTATGAGTAAGTATCAGTCATGTGATATATAATACTGCGCGCTGCGAAGCTCACTCAAAGGCGGCACAGAGGCGCGGGACGTCGTTGCAAAGCACAGCAAGCGACTTGAGCGCGCGGTCTTCGTCTCCCTGCCAGACCCGCAGGTACTCACTCGCCGTCAGGACCATGTCGCTCGAGTAGTTCCAGTCTTTGCTATAGGCGCAGTACGCCACCAGCACGCGCACGACGCTCTGCTTTTCGCGCTCGCTGGCCATTGCAGCAAACGCATCGACGTCTTTTGCAATGGCGTCGGCTTTCTCGTGCTGTCCGGTGAGAAGGAACTGGTCGACGTGCAACGACGCGGTCGAGATGCTCGAAGCGAGTTGCAGCAGACGTTCGCCTTCAGTCGGACTGTCGTCGTCGCACTGCGCGACGCCAGTGTCCTCAAGACCAGCGTACACCCCCCGGCCTTCGCCCACGTCAGGCAGCACCACGAACCCGTCGTCGAGGTCGCTCGACTCGATCACCGCACCGCTCCCGCTCGTGTCGCCGTCGTGGCCGTCACGCCCTCCCGTCGCCACCCACCGCTTGCTCAGCTCTGCCTCAGCCGCCCGACGCGTTGCCGCCAACTCGGCGCTGTGCTGCAGCGCTCGGACCGTCTGCTTCGGTCGTTTACTTGTTGCGTCAAACACCGCGTGGAACGCGTCCAGGACGTCGTCTTCGTCGCTCGGGGACAGCGCCGCCAGCTGCGGTAGCGGCTTCGCGCGCGTCAGGAGCTTCTGCGCCGCCCGCACGAGGAACGCGACGAGCTGCGTCTTCGCGTGGTCCGCCGCAGCTGCTGCGCGATCGCAAGCGGTCGCAGCAAATAGCGCCAGTGCAGACGACAGCGCGCGCCCGACAGCCGTTTGGTGGGCAGTGCATTGGCGCTGCAGCAGCAGCAGCGGCGGCGGACGGCGTTGCAAGACGCGCACCTGCGTGCGGACGAGCGCGTACGCGGCCTCCGAGTGGCTGTGCGCGCTGCAGACGGCCGAGACGAGGAAGTTGCCCATGCGCTCGCTGCGAGAAGGGGCGCGGGGCGGCTGGACGCGAAGAAGAGCGCTTGAAGTGGGTTCGCGGATGGCGGCCTGTGAGTGGCGGAAAGTCGGTATCGATGGATGCGGCCGGACACGGGCGTGTAGCTCAGCTGTTCGTTCAGTGGCTGAAACTATCACTGCGAAGAGAGCAGGCGGCGGAAGAACAACTGACGCAATGAGAGACCGTTTGGTCGTTTGGTCGTTTGGTCGTTTGGTCGTTTGGTCGTTTGGTCGTTTGGTCGTTTGGTCGTTTGGTCGTTTGGTCATTTGGTCGTTAGATAGATCGACTCTACATGTACAGTACATGGACGGCCTCCTCCAGGAAATGCTAAGGATGATACTGCCCCTGTCTCATCTGTAGCCACACGTCGGATCCGATCTTCGCACAGAAGAGAACGAAAGGACCGAAAACTACACGTATCGTGGACTGTGTAGGACTTCCTCGGACGGTGAGCAACTTAGGGATGTATGAGAGTCGTCATGGTAGTAGCAAAGTGGTTAGCATGCGAATGGTCGCCACCACTGCAGCACAATGAGGTGCCCTGGACACCCTTTGCGAAGTAAATGACAACGCAAAAACGTGTACAGCACTTGTATTCAAGCATAGCCTGGTCGACGCGTGGCGAACGCGATGATCCGGGGTCTAATCGTCGTAGCATGCTTACTGTTGCTCATGAGGGAGATAGCGCCAATGAACCATGTGCTTATGTATGTCGTCATGGATCGATACGCCATAGAATACGTGACAAACGGCGTCCCTAGAGACACTGGATCCATGCAGCTCTCTCTCTCTACTAGAACATCAGAGACAGACTGACGGCTTGGGCGAAAAGAATCTGTATATTGGAATCTGCATCACAGTGGAAGCTGTATGCGTCGCAAGGCATCTGTTGCTGCGACTTCGCTATCAGATCTGGAGTCAAATATCATTATCATCCAAGTGTGAGGGTCACGTGTTCAACGACGAAACATGATCGCTACGGACTGACGCTACTGAGAAGGGAAGAAACGTTCATACGAAGTGAGGCAAACGGTTTGTCACGATGAGATATTTCATCAGTGTACAATTGTAGTAGCAACGACGTCTGCAGCCGCACAAACCGATACTTCGTTACAGTGTGGTCCGCATCTTTGCAAACCACTCTCTCTCTCTTGCGAAGTCTAATGATGGTATGCTGCAGTAGACGCCGTCATGACACTCACAAGAAGTACATATACCATTTTGTCTACAAGTATCATTGCTTGCGCTCAATGGATGCGCTAGACACATGAGACGAGCAAGTGTACGACGAGACAGGGTAAGTCTGTTTCTACAGCATTAATGTGTAAGCTTCTTGCAGCCGAACCCATACAACGTACACAAGGTAAAGGAAATACGGCCTACAAGTTTCCAAGATGAACTTGGCCACCCGAGGATTCCGGATACGCCTCCTGTTATCGACCGGGCTTTGTTTACCCCGCTGCTAGAGCGGAATAGGCTCCAGTACATTCTAAAGCTTGGCGGCGCTAGACGCTGTGTTCCCCATCCCCGCCGTACCGTTGTCTCTTGATTGTAACTACATGGAGGTGCTGCAGTAGGACCTTGTCCAACTTTCCCCCTCTAGTCCAGCCGAAGCTCTTCGTGCTTATGATTGCTCCTCTTCCGCAGAATCCATAGCGTGGCGACACAGATGGAGTAGGCTAAGCTTTCTCTGATACTTGCCGGCAGCAAAAACTGACGCTGAGAAAGCAGTCTGGTCGCGCAACTGGCTACAAACTGATTGTACTGCAACCACTACTCTACATGCGTTCATACCAGATCCAAGCAAATACAAGTACGATCTTCATAGAGAAGTATTCGTCTGCCTATTACGGTCGACAGCCGACACTGTACGTTTTTTGTCCTAAGTTCACCTCTAAGCCCAATAACTGACGCCGTACTATCTATGAAATGACGAGCCGTGTACAATCTAATCCACACCTGGTCGATCCGGCTAAGCGCAGGCGACTTGGGCTACATCATTTGAAGCCCAGAATCTGGTGCATGGGCAAGCCCCTAGAGCGGGCCAAATATGCCCGGATACCTCCATGTTCACTGCGCAGTCTGTGCATTCGGCGACTGGGGTCACATGAATTTCAATTTACGTTCCCGTCTCTCGGCGGTACTCCGTCTCGGCATATGCATTGTAAATTACAACGTTGGGCGACTTCGATCCTGCTCTCGTCACCCCACCTTGCTGTCGGTGCGGGACCGGTAGAGCCCGGGCTCGTCTTACGTCATCCACCGCCGTTTCGGCGCGCTTATAAATGGTCCCGGGTACGAGCTGATTTAATTGTCGGGTCATGTCGGGACCCTGTCGAGTCCGCGAACTCGGCGATTCGCCTCCGCCAAGATGTCAATGGAATCCATTGGTCGATTGACGGGAATTTACCAGAATTAAGGGGGTCGCCTGAGCAAGTGTCTAACTACTGGGAGCATTCGCACCATCGTACCTTGGTGTTTCATGCCCACCCGGAGCTTCACCGTTTCCCTTGGAGTGTGCCAGAGACGGTGGCCAATGTAGATGTGTGGACAACGCTTATGAAGCAAGCGTTTCACGTTCATAAACGCCTTCTGCACCCTGGCCTCCAGTCCTGGTTGAAGGCCTATGACGCGCAGGCGGTATCGAATAGTTGGCAGTCAGCTGCATCAAATCAAACGCCTTCCCAAGTTTGGAAACACGCAAACGGGCTAACGGAGTATCAAGTCTGGACATGCTATCGTATCGCGACAAAGCAGCTAAATCTATACCATGCCGGTCGCACGCTGGACAACAGTTGTCGTACGGTGCTGCACTGCCGGGGACGCAAAGAGACAGCGGCGCACATTTTCTGGGAGTGCCCAATCGCGCGAGCGTGTTGGTGTCACTTGATAGGACACTGGACCGGTGGGGGTGCGACGAACGCAGTTCTTTCCACCTTCTTTCAGCACTGCGCCAATCGCAAAGCCCCGCCCATTCCACGTCAGCTGAGTTTGCGGTTGCAAAGCCGTTTTCAAGATGACTCTGACGACGCAGCAACAGAATTCGAACGGATCTGGTTCATATTAAGCTCCATCTGCCAAGAACATTTGTGGACCGAGCGGAACTCGGCGGTCTTTAGAGGAGCCGTGACTACTCCATCCGCAAGTGTCCAAAGGTACTGGACACGCGGTGTTCGCCAGCTACGGGCAATTGCAATACGCGAGCATCGAGCCGCGGCTACGGCCGTACGAGGGGCCCGACTTCATGCCTGTCTTGAACTACTGATTCAAGAGCCCCGTGGACACCCGCCTTACGCGGGTGTCAGCCACGATCCGCTGCCGCGACCGGCGCTCATATCCTGGCTCAGGATTTTTCAGACCTCTTGTCCACATTAAATATGTCAATAGATGATCATGAAACTCCTCCCCCCCAGAATCTGGTGCATGGAGTCGAACCTTAGAAACAGCTCTTCGGCTGCCGTTTCATGATTTGACCGCACCGTATCACAAGATACCAGCTTCGACGTGCTTGAGACCCCACTGAAGTCTTTACTTTATCATTTGCGCCTCACGCCACCACTTCTGTCCGCTCCACCATTCGTCACCCACAACAGGCTCAACGGTCCTTCCAACATGACCAAGTGCATCCTTCCTCTCTTCCTCGCGCTCGTCTTACCATCCACTGGAAGAGACACTTGTGCAGCGTCGGCAGTCGCGAACGTGACCACGGTGATGAAGTCAAACCAGGACCTAGTCACTCAGCCTGATGTGGACCGCAATGGACTTGTCCAAGGTACTGACGTTGCCGACCAAACCGCTGATGAAGAAAGGGTAGCAATATCAGCTGCTCATTTAAAATCATTGCTCCGTCCAACTCGTGGTGTCGTCGACCTTAATGCTGCCGCCGAGGCTTTCAAAAATATTGAACATTTGCGACCCGTAGCAGCGGAGGAAAACGTCGGACATGCGATGCAGGAGCACCTGCGTATAAGTGAGACTGATGCTAAAGAGATATGGGATTTAGATCATCCTAATCGTGCGCAGATTGCGGCGAAGCTGGAGGCGAAGAGACTAAAGCGGGTGGCGAAACTGGAGGCGAAAAGATTAAAGAGGGCGGCGAAAGCGGACGCGGGGAAAACGAAGGCAGGGGAACAGGAGTCGAAACGAACGTTTGAAGCTACTGGCGAGGATGAAGGCAATGTGGGTAAGGAATGAGGGGCAATGTTGAAACGAGGGAAGGTTCAATTGCAGCTACAATAAAAGACAATGCAACGGGGCACGCTATTACCAGATAGCTTATAAGACCTTTTGTTGACCACGCACAAGGCTACGTACTCCCGGCGTGCCGTGAGGACGTGAGGAAGCGCGAGGAAGTAAACAGAACTCGGAAGCTTTGTTTGGGGAAAAAGTATAGCTGTATTTAATATAGTCAAGTTTCATTAATAAAACATCTTTTTCTTGATCTAACTATACTATACTACAATCTACTATATGAGTTTCTTGCTCGCCACCCATTGCGCACGTACAGCAGCGATTGGTGGTTTCTTAAGTTGATATAGCGTCTACACCAACCAAGAAGTGGAGCACCCAAGAGTATTACCCTCAGAGGTAATATTCCGACAACATTACCTCTTCTCGGGTAATGTTAATAAAGATTAAATAAATGAATAGTATTCAACAATTGATACATTCGTATCAATATTTATGTTACGGGCTCACCAAGTTACATCACCCCCCGTTTATCATCGATCCCTGTAGTGAGTGATTTTATTGATTGGTAATAGATTGACCACCGTTTGGTTGCTCTGGGGGAAAGGGAGCACTTCTTGGTGTGACCATCTCATTCCGACTCTTCGGCGCATGACGAGTTCGTCCATGCGCTGCGCGAACAAATTCGCCTCTGAAACAGCTGCACGGGTGTGTGCAGCCGGCGAGCAAGCAAACCAAGACTGAACAGCAGTCTTTTCTTCCTCTGATGCTGCAGATAAGCAGCATGCAACACTCAGTGTTGGAGGTGCACGTGGTTATCCACGTGCAGCTTCTTCATCCGCAGCTTACAATCCATTAAGAGCTTCCCAACGAAATCTGAGGCAGTGGTCTGGTTAAACACTGGAAATTATCGGATCCCACTCCTCGAGTCGTCAATACTTCGTGGTCTTGATGTCAGTGCGAGTGATTATCTCACTGAACATGAGTATTACATCGATATCGTTTTCATACATCGATGGTACCACGGCAACCGCAGCCGAAACGAAGTTTCGTTGGTGCAGGCGTGGAATTCATTTATCGGAAACATTGGCAATGTTGACCGTGACGATTGGCTAGTCAAACTTGTTACAGCTGGCAATAGGTTTGAAGAGAAGTCGTCAACTTGTGCTCGGTTAAAATTGCACCGATTGTCTCGAGGGGCAAGTTCATCTTGCCGCTCGTGGGGAGAGAATTGCCAGAGTTGTGTTGACAATTCTGTTCGCGCCCCTAGAATGGCCTTCCTCCCTAATCAGCCCTGTTGGAGGGAGAGCATCCCGTATGAAATGTACCAAGGGATTGAGACTTTACAATACCTTTACGAACGCGCCGGGCGTTCGATCGACTATGGCCGTCCATCATCAAAGGGTGCGTCTCGTAGTACTGCTCGACGATACCGGGAACATCCACCATCAGCTGAGAGCGGGGCTCCCAGCTGTTTTACGAGGGAGGATAACCCGTCATTGGACAAGGGAAATAGTCCTTTATCCTGAGCCGTCACGGTGGTTCAATACAATCTCCACAAGAAAGCGTTGATTACGGTGTGAGTCCACCAAAGGATGTGGTGGAGAAGGAAAAACCTCTTCCAAGTCGTTCTACTCACCAACTCGACCAACACGAGATGGATCGCGCTACCGCTAAATTGCGCGAGATTTTGGAGCACGATCCGGACCGATAATACGGTCTGACCGACTCTGTGCGGAAGCACTTCAAGGATCGTGAGGCTGATCGTGCAAAGGATCGTGCTAATTACGCCTTCGCACATATTCAGGTCTATCGGTATGTCCTTTTCATCGTTGACGAGCTGGCGGCAGCTCATAAGGAGATCTCTTAGTTGCGTGGAGAGGTATCTTCACTATGCGTCCAGACTGATTGCCTGGAGCGCGAGAGCAAGAATATGATGGAGATTGTTGAACGTGGGGGACATCTACATCGTTGAGTGAAGGCTCGTAATGGCGGTACGGGCGGAGACGCCCCACGTAAAACGTAGGATGCGCACGCATTATACGAGGCATATCAATCGTGTATGCGTTGCCTTGTCGGAGAAGCACACGAAAGGGACCGATGTACTTGGTCAGTAGTTTACTGCTGCCCACGTTAGTCACTACATGTCTAGAAAGGTTTCCCGTAAATAGTAGGACTAAATCGCCTTCAATGAATACAAGGACATTTGCTCTTCCATTCTCGCCAGCGGTGGAACGGCAGAAATGGAAAAGACCCCACCTTGTCGGTTTTCATTTTGTTTCTGCGGGTCCACCGCATGAGCGATGGAGTCCTGCACAAAACGGACCACTGCTTCTCGAGCCAACAGGAATCCTTCTGCTGACGAGACATTTTTTTGCTTCATTCGCCTTGTGCGAAATGAAGAAAGAGTCATCTCCTCTTTCTGTTCATGAGCGAGGGTTTCATCATCCTCTCTGGACTAGTCATTTGTAATGCTGAAAATACCAGCACCGTCATTGTAGTGGAGTGGCGATCGCTCTTTTGAGGAGCCAACCCCAACTCTCCACTAACGCTCGAAAGACCGACTAACAGAGGGGGTACTCCGATTCCGTGCTGTGACTTTTTCTTCCTTGTGTATCCGTCAGTAGGCGGGTTGCACACTTCCAGATGGACTCGTGTCAATGGAGTACTTGACCGTGTTTGCGATGGGGTCTGAGCTCGATCTCTGTGTGGAATTCTTCGCACCGCGATCGGAGTGTCATGATCTCGTAGAATTCTTCACGGGATCACTTGTTTACTTGTAGGATGCTCGATATGAGTCACCCTGATCTGAAACAGATCGCCTGATCCAAAATGTAGACCTTCATTCGCGAGCCTTCTGACTAATTGACCCGTCTCGCGATCTTTAGTCGTCCACCACAAAAGGTTTCCTGCGTCCGATTGCAGTTGTAACGGGTGGGAGTCCTTGAACACACCTGGCTAAACAATTTAGGCGCGACAGTTGTGCAGATGTAGCGTAGTTTGTGACGTCAGGTGGTCAAAAAATCAAGCTCAAAAGAGACGACGCGTGTCCTTAGAAGCAACTAAACTCTGTATTATGCTAAATAATCAACCCCAACATCCCTATCCCTATCGTCACACCGTAGGCATCGCATGCAACGTGTCGCTTTTTCCAGAAGATAGCAACCTTTTACTTGCGTGGCACACACTATATACTAACCGATTGCGGTCGCCTTTCTGATTGCATATCGTGTCGTGTCGTCCATACTAGCTTGATCGCGATCACATAGCTGATCGCCGATCAAGATCTCGATCGCCTCCTTGATTGCGATTGATTTGCTGGTCGCGGATGACCTGTTGTGGCACACACCCCTCTGATTGTGACCGATTATCCTGGTCCACACCAACCTGATCGCGACCACATGCCTGATCGGCGATCACGATCTCGATCGCCTTCGTAATCGCGGTAGCCTTGCTGATTGCGGATCCTAAGGTGTGGTACGCACTACTCTGATCGCGATTTCTCTTTACCGCCATCTTAATCGTCTCCGAGACAGTGATCGAGGCTCCCTGACTTGTACCCTTCGTCCGTCATAATTTAACCCAATGTCGCAGGTCCCATCGTTTCTGATCTGATATCCGGTTCTGTCTAACAGTCCAGTGGGCGTGATCAGGCCAGGTGCGGGACCGGCGCCGCCAACCGTTTGCTGATTTGGATATTACTAAAGCGCGATCCGTTCTCGGATAGCGAATTTTACTGGTCGCTTACCACAACGACACCCCGCGTAGATTTCCCCGTCGAGGTTCCAAGTGCTTCCGAGGGAGAGATCAGTGTCACCTACAACCCACGTGCACCCTTCAACCTGTTTTTGCCGCAGTCAGAATATGGAGATCTACCTCGCGTCAAGAGCGATCGGACTGAGTGGATCCCGGGATACTGGGATCGCGCGACCCGACATTCCATTCAAGTCATGCCTTGTTCGGCATGGAGGATCAGCTTGGTCAGTGTTGCTGAGTTGAACGTTGATTTCCTCTTTCGACACTTCGCAAAAGAGCGCATTATGACTCATTATTTTGCTTGTTTTGACGCGACCTCAGTATTTCTTGCCAAAACCCCCCGGACCGGGTTGATAACTCTACTGTGACGATAGACATTCCTCCGGAAGATGTGAGTGCGGCTTTAAAGAGGCTCAAGCGTGTGAAATAAGCGAGACCTGATGAACTCAACAACACGTTCTACAGAAATTACGCGGACGCGCTCGAGCCGGTTCTCGCTGCTTTGTACACCAGATGGCTCAAGTGCAGCGTGTTTCGGCTTCGTCCCGCGAAGTGATATTCAGTGTTTGAAGAAATTTGCGGCCTCTGCCTTGCCACTTGATCATTGCCTGATCGCGCTTCTCAACAGCGACTACAAGTTGTCTACCAAGATTATCTCGTTTCGGGTTCGACCGATGCTCTCGCATCTCGCTCTGCCAGATCAAGTTTATTTTTTCACGCAGCAATCAACCAATTCGGGTCTCGACAATTTTACGACGGTACGAAAAGTAGCAACTTAGGACAGCGATCTAATGAAGTCATTGTTCTGCTTCTCGATTTTGCCAAGGTATACGACACGGTGCAACGTCTGTATCTACTCGAGGCGCTGATATGGCCTGGCTTTTCGACCCACTTAGTATCAGTCGCCACGGCCGTACACCGAGATACGACTTGTCGTTTTCTCGTGAACTGAAATTTCTCGAGTCGACGTGAAGCTAATTGTGGAATGCGACAAGGGTTCCTCCTTGCACCACTTCTCTTTTTCCCATGCCCTAGATAGTGTCTATCGGGTGATTCAAGCGAGGGAATACATTTGCGGGGTACCCACAACATCTAATATAGGGGCATACTGAGTTCAACGTATACTGCGGTATACATTCGCGATCGGAAGGCGGTTAAGCTGGTTGTATCCATTATAGATGGTTTTGCTAACATGCCGGATCTCTTGATCAATCTGACGAAATCAATATTTATTGAGCTGGACCCTCGTG